GTGTGTAATTAGTCTCTACTAGACAGGGATAAAAACAAACTATAGAGCAAGAAGTTATTATTTTTTGAATTCCACAGAGAGAATTCTTAACTTATAAATGCGAAGTAACAAAAATGGACGATGCATCTTGTTCCCTTCCAAAGATCGCGGTACATCACAGTGACTCTCGAGTGCCTTCGGGCGTCCTCACTTTTCCGCAGACTTTTTTTTTTCCCCCAATTTTGAACCTGCCCACAGCGCGAGCGGACTGATACATCCCAGTTCTAATCTATTCCCCATTCGTTTTTCTCATCCCTGGGATGCTGCGAAGTTGACTTTGAATAGAGTTTCGGAAGGCGACCTTGGACCCCGCGGTCGCGTCTGCGTCTTGCGGATGGCCGGCCGGCCTGGATGCGGGATGCACCGAAGTCGATCGATAGGAGGGATGCAAGAGACTCTTTTGTGAGTATCTCCATTCCGTCTCCACGTCCCCTTCATTCGCGTGCCACGTTTTCTCGCCGCTCTCATTAGAGTCGCATCATCCTTCGATCGCGAGACACGCGATCGTGTGTCTCCTCGCCGTTCTCTCGCGATTTTTCTCGACAGTCCGTCTCGCGAGCGATCAGTCGCTGGGTATCGCTGCACCAGCAGCAAGCCAGCATCTGTTGCTTGACTCCTCTCTTTCTCTCTTTATTTCTCGTGGAAATTCGTCGACTATTAGAATGTTATTTCAGAGAGCCAAGTTTCGAAGAGGCCGCGAGTGAAACGCCGTAAAAATACCGACGTTAAGGTCATTTGCAATTGAAATTTCTTCAGAAATTCATGATAAAGATCGCGGCGGAGTCTTGAAGTTGCTTAGGGAAACTAAGAGGTTCTATGTAGTGGTTCCGACGGAGTTTTGAAGATTAATCCTTATTTTCACGTTGCTCTTCGGAAGCGATGTTCGCGCGCACCTTCGGCGCACTCGCATTACGAGACCGCGATTATTTCGAGTGCACGAAATACACGCCGGAGTCTTTTAACTTGATGACCTCAGGTAATTAGAAATGTTTTGTATTACAGCACGCGCGTATTAATATTAATGAACTACAAGTTTGCATTATTTTATAAAGAAAATTGTGAGAACATTGGATATAATCGCATTATATTTCGCAAAGTAACATTGACATTGAAAGAAATTTATAGCGACTTTAAAAAGCTCTGGCAATAAAGTCACTGAGATAATCGGTCTAATAAAATCTAATACACATATATTTAGAAAAATAAACAAAGGTGAAACTTTGAACGCGCGCTGGATTAAAATGATTCTCTTGGTTCAAGATATTTGTAGATGACGAAGAGAATGAAATTTTTTATAGCTTCTATTAATGTTGCATTCATATGGACCGTTTATAACATCTTTTTTCTTGTTAATCGAGCGAAGTGTTAAACGAAGAATGTGAACACTCGATCGAGATTTGCGTCTCGCCCGCTCGAAATAGAATAACCCATGATTTTAGATGATCGCACAGGAGATTATAAATAGTGAAGGATCGATTATCAGTAATGAGATGATAAAACATGCGTGAACATCCTAATACCCCCATTACTCGATCCGCTTCCGAAAGGAACTCTCATTCCTGGATTTCAAAGTAGCAGCATGACGTCATTTCGATGAGTTTAATTTTCGATATCGCGAGTAAAGAAAAATCGATCTATATTCCACTTTGTGTGATTTTCATCGTCGCGAATGAAAACTCTTGCATATCTATCGCATCGAAATCCGAGCTCGTTGAAATTTTATCGAGGTTTCAATCACCGTCGCACGGTATCATCGATATGCAAACGGATTGTGCGCGAAATATCGTTCAACGAAAGAAACGTGATACTGTATGCCATCCTATATATCGATTGCGTATTCTCTACAAGTTATAGACATAACATTACATCGTACACGCAATAAGTGACTTATATTTGAAGTATGGAATTAATATATGAATTGAATAAAATCGACATGCTGATGTAACACAAGAATGTGCGATAACATAAAAATAATTTGGAACGTACAAAATTAAAAGAGGAAGATTAAAAAACAAGAATGGATCATTGTAATAGGACAACTATACAGATTACGAGTTGTGAGTCCAATCGAAAGACTGCAACAGTGTATGTAATATACAATTTTAATTATATTGTTAACAGATATTTTTTTATGTAACATTTCTCATAAATGAAGACGTAAGTAAAGAGAAATTTGTTGAAGCGTTGTTTATATTGTTTTCAAGGCTTAAACGTAAGATCCGGCCTCTCTGCACAAACACATATCCGCTATATTATTATTATTTTTTTTCTTAAAAATTTTTATTATCAATGATTTAATAATGGATCGTCATTTTATTACAGTCTTATGTAGCAACCGGGTGAGCCAAATGACCAAGACCTATAATGACATAGAGGCAGTTACAAGGCTTCTGGAGGAGGTAAGATTGGCCAGGAAATAAGAGCTAAGAGTAGAAACTAAGCCCGCGCTGTGCATATCGTGTCGTTAAAATTTTACGAATCGTAAATGTCCATATCTAAAAATATTAACGAAACGTCCGAAACAAATTGATCGAATGAAACCGATAAATAATGAATATTTAAATGATCGGTAAACAGTTATATAATTAGAAATCGCGAAACAAATGTAAAACGTCTGCCAGATTGTTAAAATATTATTCCAAATTTATTTTTGTATTTTTAGATTTATATCCTTTGATTATTTTTCAGTTTATCAATTTATAAATTGCTTAAAAATTCTTTTTAAATAACTTTTTAAAGTTATTTTTTCAGAAGTATTGATAAAAATACTTATGTACTTGTATATACCATGCAAATTACTAATTTATTAAAAAAATGTACCACTGAAGGATAACTTTAGCAATAAATTAGCAATAACTGTAGATGAGAGATCTTCAGTTATAGTAAAGACAAATGATTACGTTTTTCTTCGACAGAAAGAAAAGGACTTGGAGCTGACAGCGCGCATCGGCAAGGAATTGTTAGCACACAATCAGAAGCTCGAAACCACAGTAAATGCCTTAGAAACTGAACTCAAAGAAGCGAACGAGAAGATCACCCAGTTGAATCATGAGGTGCTGAAAAAGACCGAATTGATACAAATACTGACAAATGATGTGGACGAATCTAGCTCAGAGGCCGGGACTCCCACCGGCCTGCGCGGTATTAATCTGGAGCTGTTACAGAGAAAGGTTACTTCTTTGGAAGACGAGAATAAGCAACTCCGCAGCGAGTTCGCAAAACTGATGCACGATGCCGATAATTCCGAAGAACAGGAGGCACGTCTTGTAAAAGATATCGCAGCACAATTAGGTATTTTCATATATTTCTTTGTATAATTGTTTCTTTGTATAATTGTTTGCGACATATTTTTTTACTTTATTACATGATATATACATAACATGCTTTAATTAATTAGCTTTGGCGAAATTAAATAACTTTTTTAACCGATGATGAGATTATATGAATGTTAGATGTTTGAGATAATTAAAAAAATATTATAATTTCTGATAAACAACAGCAAACGCCAACATGGAAGTGGACGGCATAGCGGAGGAACTCGGTCGGCAGAAGGATGAGAATCGACTGCAACATGAGCAGATAATTAGTTTAACTGCGAAATTAGCTGAGACCGAGCTTAGGCTCGCTCAGCTTATGGCAGAGCACGATGAAGTGGGAGCGACTCTAGTCATAACTAGGGATAATCAAAATACACTTGCCGCTGAATTAGCTGAATTCAAAGAGCGATATGCGGAGGTACGTTTCCACAAACATTTAAAACAATAAATCAATTATCAATTCTTTTAAAATCTCATATATGAAAATTATGTCTCATATATATATATATATATATATATATATATATATATATATATATATATATATATATATATATATATAAAATTATGATTAATTATTGAAATATAGATAAAAATAAAATAATAATATTTTTCGTAAATAAAATAATTTTCAATATCGGGGATTTAATCGATTTCAAATTTGATTATCGATTTAATAGGGAAGGGGTGAATTTAGATTTAACTTTGAGTAGGTTACGTTGCAAGATCATTGAATTAACGACACATAGTTTGCAATAAGCATTGTCCTGAAATTCAGAAAAGTAAAAATTATTCGACATGAAAACTCAATCTGCCGATGGAAATCATCTATTGTTTTCTCTATTTTTTTAAAAAAATAATATTCTTTGATTAATGAATCTAGATTTAAATCCTTTTTCTTGTACAAATTGAAACACTATATATCTCATTGAAACACTATATATTATTTATACACTAGGTAGTAAACTTACTAGCCGAAACACAAGAACAATTACGGAAACAGAGGAAACGTGGAATGCCAACTGTACGCGGTGGATCATTATTCCCATCGATGGGTGCAGCGCCTCAACCGGATTCTATTGCTTCAGAATTGGAATCGTCCTTTTATTCGGAATTAAGTTTCGACTCTGGAATCGGTACAACAGACAGAATGTACGTTATAAAATTGCTCTATCTAATATTCTATTACTAGATTTGAAGTCAAATAAATATATTTAAATCAATATATAATATAATACAAATATATGAAAATTATAGTTATCAATTTAATAAAATAATTTGTATTGAATTCCCGTAGGCCATCCTACAAGAAAGTGTTTGAGACTGTTCGCAGTTCATCTCGAATATACGCGGGAATGGATCCAAACCAGTTCCCTAGGATAAGTTCCATGACGACGTCGACGTTATCTAGCAATTCTGTTGGCCCGCGGATGAGTTGTGGACAAGTGCGACCGCAGACATCTACATTTCCCAGTTTAGATTCGGGTCACAGCGAGAGTGAAGGAACCTTCCTCAACGAATCGGAAGATTATCCGTATATATTCATTTTTTCTCTTTATAAAAGTATAGATTGGTTTTCTTATATACTGATAACATTTTTGTGTTTCAGAGGGCCGCAACGCACAGGAGTACCTGGTGCTCCTGGAGCTGCTGATCTAGAAGCAGCTCTGCGCCGTTTAACGCCAACGGAAGTATTAGCGAGGCGTGCGTGTCTTAGTATAGGTGCCGGTTACAGTTACGATTACGACGGTGGCATTTTACATTCCCCGCCAACCTTCTTGCCCTTCGATTGTCGCACTCCAGATAGTATCATGTCAACTGGCAGTAGTGGTAATCTGAGTGGTTTTAGCGGCAATAGCGGAAATGCTTGGCGTATCCCGCAGAAATTACAGATAGTTAAGCCAATGGAAGGTTCCCAAACGTTGCATCATTGGTCGCGATTGGCGACGCCAACCCTAGGTGGACTACTGGAAGACAGACCAGGCGTGAAGACCAGAGGTGGTCGTGCTCTCGAAGATCTTGGCCTCATAACATTCGCGTTGAGTGATTTGGAGGAAGATGAGGAATACACTAATCCTGGCAAACCATTCCAAGATACCGGCTCCATTTACACCTTTACCAATAGCACTGTGATGCATCCAGATGATCATACCACCAACAGTGTAACGCCGAGCATCGTTAGCAGTCGTGTCGCCACAGCACCCAACAGCGGTATGAACTCCGGTATGAGTACTCCTCGCACACACAGCCGTCGCAATTCAACATCAACGTTCTCCACCACGCTTGGATTGGCCAAGATGTTAAATGAGAGAGGGATCAAAGCCGTTACGCCCTCGTGCATAGGCACACCTACCGACGAACAAAATTTCTCACCAACTGCCACACCGTGCAATAGTCCAGACGCGAGTCTGTCACCTAGATCATCGTCGCCACCACCGGAAAGTGGCGCCTCACTTACATTAGGATTACTCAGTACCGGAGCGGAATTGTTGAGGCGTACTTTCAGTTACGAACCGCCGCCAGTGTCGGTGCAGTCCAAAAAAAAGAGACCAAAGTCGACGATTTCACGCTCCGACAAGAAAGCTCTTACAGGGATACGTCTAGTGGAAAAATTGGAGAGGATTGGTATTGATACGATCATGGCTACCACAGTTAATTCGTCGATTTCGCCATTAGCTCTACAGGGTGCTCTGTACACGCGTCGTTTGACTGGAAGTCCAATGGCACAATTAACTTTTCTCAAAACTTCGATGTCCTCCAGTACCAGCCAAGAAAAATTGATATCTCCCTCATCTTCAACATCCTCCACTAGTGACGAGTTATTATTAAGTAAATCGTCATCATTGCCGGACAAACGGAATGGTAGTAAAGAGCGCGAACTAAATAAGTTCGATTCTAACGCATTTAGTTCGAAAACAGCGGGTCAGTCGCCAGATCGACAACGACGATCGGGTGCTAAAGCGACAAGGCCTGATTTGGGACGAGTTAAGCCGCCAGTTTCAACGCCTGTTACTAAAGAATCCAAACAGTCAGCATTAGGAGCGATAAGCTCGCTTCTTTTTGGTCGTAAAGGCGGGTTGTTGTGAATACTTTATAGTATCTAGTAATGCGATAGAAGATGGATTAATTAATTCCACAGAATTATTTTTTAATGTATTTGCATAATGTAATGCAGAGAAAGCTCATTTTTTTATTACCTGAAAATTATTCATGCATTATTATTTGAGTACACGATATGCTACTGACGTCAGTATTATTAATCATCTACACTTTAATGCAATCACTAATTCGCAGTTTCCGAATCCAATATGGTGAATCGTTATAAAGACAAAAGCTTTAAATGGTAAAGGCATTAATAAAATATACGCATCAGGATGTTAAATACTCTGTACAATAAATCGTATTTTAAGTTTTTATATTATTTTCATCTTAAAGATGAATTAAAAGTGAGATAAACAAAGCGGCGAATACTTTGTACAGTGAGCATGAAATCATTATATTTTATCATTATATATTTTAAATTCGATTTTAAAATTTATAATGAATTAAAAACAGGATATGTACAAAAAGCTGGATTTTTTGATAGTTTGTGATATATGAGGGAAAATCTGTGAATTATTAGCTCAAATAAAGACAAAAATTTATTTTAACTTATGATCGTATTAAGATCTTCGACTATGTATCTATGGATTGCTAATTGTGGTATATTTGGGAATGTAAACATTGAAGTCATAATTAGTCATAATTAGACCTGTGTATACATATTTCATGAGATTTCTTAAGTTAGAATTGCATATAAAAATTAATATAAATGTCTATCCTTGATCTCTTAATTAATACATTTGTTCTTTATTTTTTCAAAGATAAAAGAGATCAACATCTAAGTATCTAAATATCTAAGTATCGTTTTATAAAAAATTATATAATATATGATATATTAGTAAAGACCAGCGAAATTATAAGAAATTGCAGCTTTTAACATATTTAGTTCCTAATTTATTTTAATTATTTTTTTATTTTATCTATAGATTATCTACGGGTGATGAATATTTATATTTTTTTGCGTATATTTGATAGACTAAACAATCATTACAGCTGGGAACACTTCGCTCAATATTTTGCTATGCAACTCAGTGCAGTCCATACTCTACATGGTTAAAGATTGAAATAAATTTCTAACAATACCAAGAAAAACAATGAACAATTAAGGAGGCTATAATGGCAGGGTAGTTAATAAAATTAATATCGTGTATTCGAAATTTGTAGCTAATGACTTGAGAGTAAGCTATAATTACCGATGCAATATAATTGATTAGTATACAAAGGAGAGGGAGGACGCTGAGAATGGTGCATCTTATTATAATATAATATTTTATGTAATTTAGCACAAAGTCAATCAATTTGGTGCTGATTTATTTTCTTTAGTGAATGCTTGATGACGACGAGTAGTCGTAGTATCGTCAATGCTATTGTCAGTCTTTGCACGCGGAAGATTGCGCATTTAGCGTTGTTTTATAAGTATATACTGTACATAGTTGAATGAAATGCAGCGGGGCGGCGAAACGCCTCACATTCATTCTCTTTCTTTTTTTCTTAGCGATTTTTTTCGCGTAATTTGCTAATTTATTGCAACTTCGTTTCCTGCAAGTGGGTCTGAGTTTTACGTAAGAAAATTGTAATGTATTATAGAGAAGAGTGTTTAGCTCGACGCAGCCTTGTACATAGACGTACAAATTAATAAATTAAATTGAAAAATAACGCTGTATCGCTGTTCTACCTCGTTTGCATTTCCGCCAACATCTCCCCGCACTGTTTTTCTGCTCGAGAGACCTAGGCAAGAGTCTCGAGTATAAAACAATGGAATGGCTATTACTGTAAATAAAGGCTGATAAAGCGATCGTGAAAATGATATGTTTCATTGCAATTACGCTTTGTTTTTTCCGGTTTGTTTTCTCGAAAAAATGTAGGATTAAACATAGAGTAAGATGTCTCGACAAAAATAATATAGTGTATCTGTTCCAATAATTATTTGTCTCCAAATAATTTCAAATGTCCGACAAAAAATTCATTCAATTCTTGTAGAATCTTGAAAAATAAGTTGTATATTCAATATGACGAGAATATTCTGCATAAAGAATAACACTTAGAATGTGCTGAAAATGCATCTAGATAAAATATAGATCTTTCGAATAACGAGCGTAATGTATCATATCATTGTTACGATGTATTAAAGATCAATCGTATCAGTATATAAATGTGGTAATATCGAATGAATGTACGATTACTTTAAACGAAATGAACAACCGGGAGCGTTTGGCCAAAAATTCGGGCTGCTTTCCTATGAAAACTGATAGAAAATCTATGGAGATCATTTTACGCGTTGCGTAAAATAAGATATAAGAAATAAATAAGAAATAGAAGATATAAGAAATAAATAAAACTAATGAAAAATTAAATTTTTTTTGCATAATTAATTCGAGAGATTTTACATATTTAAATAGATTATCCGAGCAAAACAATTTTACATTCAGTTTTCATAAGAAACAGAAATAAAACGTGAAATTGCGCTGTAAAGCAACAAGTAGATTAATTAAATTATTATGATTATATTTAAAGAGCTGCATTATTACTTTGAAAAACATTTCTCTGAAAAATGTAATGTTACATTATTAAATAAGACATTATGTGTTGCTATATGCTCTCGTGTGCATCAATGTGACTACTGAATTATAAATATAGAAAATTGAAGCCTTAGTATGTAAAGTTTTATTTAGAGTACGAAGTTTCATTTTAGAATGTGATATTTATTTTGGCATCGTGTACTTGAACTTTATATGCTTTTCATGCGATTTGTATTGATTTATTGATTTATTTGATTGGACAATTATATTTATTACAACATGTATGTGTAATCCTTTGTTAAAGGTAATCATTTGAAGTCAATGGCAAGTATAAAGATATGTCATATCCCTCCAAATTGAACAATAAATATATTTAAATATTAATACTGTCGCTTTTTTTATAAGTTGCAGCGTTATTTGTCTTACAAATAAATTCATATAGAATGAAATTCCTTATCACTTCTATCCTCTTTTTAAAAAAAAAACAAAATTTCAAAATGTTTAATATATACGTACGTTACAAATTAAATGTGTACAGTCTGTTTGATAAAAGCTTGTACGACAAAACTCGAAAACTATTTGGGATAATGAATTTAAAAAGATTACACACATGCTACATGATATAGACCGTGATGCTTTATTATTAATAAGTTGTCCAGTCGCCTCCTAAGATTCTTTAATATGATTGTTTATAGATTTAGTGTAAAGTAAAGAGCCAAAAATCAATGGGTAGTACCCAATTGCCCACGTTGCCGATTGACCAATTTAAAATAAAATTATTTGATTGATTAATCCAATGGAAAATCTCCAGGCATTGGTCGCTGTAAATAGCTGTGTCCAATTGCAAGTGGTTAAACGCTCCCGAATGAGTGACGTCCGATTGACAAATTTAATATAAAATTTTTTGATTGGTTGAATCAGTGGAAAATTTTCAGGCATCGGTCGTTATAAGTGGTTATGTCCAATTGTAACGTGATCAAACGGGACGCTTTCCTCCCGAACAATTAAAATCTTACACAGCTGCAAAGCTGCATTTTGCAAAACGCAGCTATTAAATTTTGGAAACAAAAATTAGGAATAAAGAGCTACATTTAATGAGATAAGCGATCAGTGATTTTATTATTGAATCTGTAGATCAATTACATTGACAAATTATTCAACCATTATTGCTTGAACGCAGTCAAAAGTTGCATTCAGGAAACAGAATGGTAGCATAAGGCATGTTCTACAATCTGTCGCATGTCGGTATCGCAAGCCGCAAGCCATAAGTATTGACCAATTACAGACGAATGTGGGAAGAATATTTGATTGTAATTGGCCCATTCTTACGGCCCACAGCTCACGACACACGATGCATTGGCTGCGTTCAGCAGAGAAAGCAAATCAGTGAGCGTTCAGTGATTCTTTATTATGATTGGTTTCTACACTTACTATTCAACGAAGATCTAAAGGCAAGGACCAATCATATTGAAAAATTACTGAGCGCTCACTGATCTGCTTTCTCTGCTGAATGCAGCCATTGTAAAACAGGCCAGGTTTACGAATTTCCACAAGGGTTTTGCGATAGAGAGAATTTCGCAAAACCCTTGTGGAAACTTTATATGGAAAGTCGTAAACCCATGTGGAATCGAACAATTATAGACCTTGTTTTAAACAAAATGTATAATTATGCAATTTCACAAAAATTTAAAAAACCGCTCTAATATTGCATGGAGTGACTGAAATGTGGTCACGTGCATTCCCATGTCGATACATTTCGTTGATATGTCAAGTTTTTTAACCCTGCTTTTTAACGCAAACTTTAACGACTAATATCTAGGTTCGCGGGGCAGAGCGAACTTTTGCCACTTTTTTTGCCAGATTCTGTCATTTCGTGCAAAAACGTCGAATGAGCCTAATTTTATTGAAATCGGACGTGAGACGTCTAAACTTAACAATTACTGAGTAATTGAGTAATTCGTCAATGTAATTGGTCTAAATTCAGGAATCTAACAGAAAAAACCAATAACCATCGACCAATAATCATTGACCAATAATCATTGTTCGCTGATCATTTATTTTATTGAACTCACATAAAATAAGGTCTGTAATTATGTAATTGTGAGTGGTCTGCAATTATTGATCTTTACTATTAAATCCTTAAATTTAACCCAATTACGTTAATGAATTATTCAATTGTATTTTCTGACACAGTCAAATTGTAAGAATCGGAAGCCATAAAAGTTACTTCTTTTTTTAACATGGTGGTTCTTTTCAACATGGCGGTGAGTCTATGTTCCTCGCCTTGAAGATATATCTTTTGATATGATATATATTTCTACATTTAATTCTTATAAATATTGTTACGACATAAAACTGATTGATAATGTTTAACTAATAGTAAATAATTAATAATATTTAGTTTTTGTTAAAGGTTTTTGTAAAAAATACATTTTTATACTTCTAGTCCACGTATCACGTGGACGTCAGTGCATGTTTGCTTCAATTGACATCAGCTCATAACATATGCGACATATGATTTTATTAAATTTTATCAAAACAGCAAAACTTTCTTTGACATCTTCTTACAAGTACTTCTTAATAAATTTCCAATTAATAGCAATATAAATAATTTGTTAAAAATGTTTTTTTTTCTTTACGTAATGTTACATAGGTTATAATTATATTTTAATATTGTAGGATACAAAGAAAGTACCCGAGAAAAACTCTGAGAAGAAAACCATTAAAAAGATAAAAAAGGAGCCAAAAGATGCATCTAAGAATATCATGCGAGAAGTACGAATTCGCAAACTGTGTTTAAATATATGTGTAGGCGAATCTGGTGATCGTCTGACGCGAGCTGCTAAGGTCAGTTTTATAAGCATGTTGTTTTCATTTTTATTATTTAATTGTTTTTAACAATTGAATTTTTAAAGTTAAAATGATTTTCCAAATAGGTCTTGGAACAACTGACTGGTCAGCAACCAGTATTTTCTAAAGCTAGATATACCGTACGATCTTTTGGTATTCGTCGTAATGAAAAAATAGCTGTGCACTGTACCGTACGTGGGGCTAAAGCTGAAGAGATCCTCGAACGTGGCTTAAAGGTAAATTAAAAATAAAATTTTTATATGTGTGTATATAATCAAAGTATATATGTAATAGATAAAGTTTTTATATATATGATTTATATTTATACTATAATTCTAACATATCATTTCATTAGGTACGCGAATATGAATTAAGAAAAGAAAACTTTTCTGGTACTGGAAACTTCGGTTTTGGTATTCAAGAGCATATCGACTTGGGAATCAAATATGATCCTAGTATTGGAATTTATGGCTTAGACTTCTATGTTGTACTTGGACGTCCAGGTTAGTAAAACTATGTTAATCATATTTTAATCATACATAGAATGATAACAAGTGTTACAGATTTGTATGTCAAAAATATTTATTTGCTAGTATTTATATATTTAAATATACTAAAGAAAAATAATTTTATATATACAAACAATATTTGTTTTATTTTAAATATTTAATTGTTAAGATTCAATATTTAAACATTAAAATATTTATATGTTAAAATATAAAAAAAAATAAATAAATAAAAAATAAAAATAAAAAAAATAAAAGCTTACATTTATATATGAACATATGTATATATAATACAAATATATATTTGATTTATAGGATTTAACGTAGCACACAGAAGAAGAAAGACTGGTAAGGTCGGCTTTCAACATCGTCTTACCAAAGAAGATGCCATGAAATGGTTCCAACAAAAATATGATGGTATCATTATAGCTGGAAAGAAATAATACAATTGTAACATATTTTTCTCTTAAAAAATTTTAACGACAAATCATTTAGTTATTACTAATATACCTCATATAACGAGCTTTATACAATGCTCGTTATATGTTGCCCAATCCTATATTCATATTCTCTTAATTATCAATTATCAAGCTTATCAATATTTGGACATGAATCTATAAACAGGACATATATTGCTAATTGAGGCAAAAAGAGGGTTGAATTGAGAGAAAGAATTTTAAAAATCTCTTAAACTGCTAACTTCTAGCAATACTGCTAACTTCGTAGCAATATATGGCGGAAACATGTCGATTATATATCATAGTTCTAACAACGAATCTCGTTAGATTTTTATGCTATGACTTCTGTTGTATTTTTAAAAACTGATTAATTTTTTATGTAATATAATTTAATATAATTATAATTATAATTTTTAGAAATATAATAATAGGTTAAATATGGAAGTGCACAACCAAATAAAATATCTTACATAAATTTATATAACATATTATAACAAAATAAAATTTGATAAAAATACAAAAGTTTAATAAAAAAGAAAAGAGTCATAATATAATAATAATATAATATAATAATAAAATTTGTATTGTTTAGCACAATTACAAAAATTATTATTGTTTGATTGGAATATTTATCCAATAAAATCTGAATTTGTGCAGGCTCTTCATAGGCAAGTCCGCCAATATGAGATAATCATTAACCATTAGATTTCTTAATAATTAAATCGTTATCAATAATTAATCATAACTAATTTAAATAATTAACTTAAAAATATCAGAATATACCTTTTTATTTTTTTTTAATATGTATTCCAACATACTTTTGATTAAAATATTGTATAAATCTTTCTTTTAAAACGTATAAAAATTTGCCACGAAAATAATCACACTAATATAGACAAGAACATAAAAAAAACGAATTAGTAAACGGAAAATTATAATTACAAATTATGCTTTTAATGTAATATAATTAATATTCGTACATTTCTTTTGCACAACACATGCAAAGACAAACAGTTTTATTTTGTACTAAGATTACATTGCTTATGATAACTCTATTAAAATCCTATTATAAGTATAATGTATGATTAATATTTAATTAATAATTTTTATATATTTTATATTTTTATTGAATTATTTACATTACGTTATGAAATGTTTTATCATAATCATTTATGATCCAAATTAATGACTTATCTAGTTGATAGCAAAATATTCCTTTTATTTTATTATTGAAAGATTAATTGGATTAATTATCAATATTTTAATATAAACATTAACTTAATGAAATACCAATGAATTGTTAACATCTAATATATATGCGTATTTGCTTATTTTATTTTTATTTATTTTATAATACCTATGCTATATAGTTTTATGTAAATCACACTATAAATATTTAGAACGTGAATTTAATTGCAGAATATTGTGCAGAGAGGCAGAGTTGGTAGTCAAGATATTAATATTTTTTAACTTATAATAGACAAAACTGATTAAAAGTATATCAATTACCAAGTATACCAAATACTTTAAAAGATTAGAATATATGTTATTTTTATATTTAGTTTGATAAGAAATAAAATATCTCAAGCAAATATTATTTCATATATATCTTTATATATATTACGCATTATAACCAATATCTTTTAAAACTTTTCATTCTCAAGTTTCTGATATGATAGCACACACTGAAATTTTTAATCTATCTATATAACATAAACATACATTTTAAACAAAGTATGATATCTTAGGCTAGCTAACACATAAAGATGACATTTCACTCTGTTACGCAAGTGAATGCAAAAAGATGAGAAATATAAAAAATTCCAAAAATTGTACTCCATATTCTGAATATTATGATAATTTACTTGTTTTATTTATCATTATTCTTGATAGAATAAATAATAAATAAGTGAATATAATTTATTACTAAATTCGCGTTTTGTTCGGAGGTTCGAGCCATGTATTTGTTTTTTCCTACGCGCATTTTCTTCCTTCCTGCTATTATCTTATCTCCCTTTCTATTTATGTGCAATTTAAAAAATTACTAATATCTAGCGAATCTCTGTACAATAGATATACATTACAGAATAGTCATAAAAAAAGATAATTATGAAAACTATAGGAGTATAAGAAAAAAAATTCTGTAGGTTTATAAGCTTGTAGTCTAGTCAGTAATATTCATATTGTCGTCTGAAATGGAGTTCCCTGAAGAGCGATATTATGGACTAAATCACATTCTTTTATCAATAATTGGTCTTTGGCCATATGATAATTTTAAAATCAGATATCTTCCATATTATCATTATTAATAATCATATCATTTTTAAGCACTCAGGTATATTACCATTTATTTTTTATTTGAAATATATCTACATTTGTATCATATTTCACATAGTGTAAGTACTTCTGTTACAGTAACATTATACTAGTGTGAGCATATTTTCTTAAATAAATATTCTTTGTTTCATACATTGATTATTTTGATGACATGTTCTATTTGGTGACGTTTTCTATTATGTAAAATTAAATATTATTATTATTTAATTTTTTCAGTGGATAAAATTATGTGTTTCAGAATACAATTCTGATTTTCTTCTAAAAGTGTTAGCTTACAATACCCTTTTTACAGTATGTTTTATAAAATATGTTACATTTTATGCTGTTTTCAAAAATGTAAGATGAAAAAAATTAATTGAAAATATATCATTAAATGAAAATATGATATATATTATATATCATATTATGATATATATTATATATCATAAAAATACTTATTACATTTATTAGTAGATTAAAGAATTCCGGGAACATGTTCGAAATAATTGGAATGCTTTGATAGATAATTATGAAATCGAAATAATATGTAAACATGGAAGTCTTGGCAAATTATTTACAATATTTTTAATAAGTAAATATTAAAGAAATATTCAAATATTAATTAAAAAAAAATAATTATCTATTTTGATTGAAAAAGATTATGACTAAATTATTAAATAAAATATAGCCTAAAAGTGAGATAATTATTTTTCACAAGACAAGACTTTACTAAAAGAGAAAAATTAATTTTAAACAAAAATGCAATAAGTTATTAATTAATTGATAAATGAAAAATAACTAATTACTTGATGTTCTTGATATTGTGATAATTGTTTCTAATAACATTTAAATAAATATAAATTTTATCTAATGTTAATAAATCAATTAACTTTAATAATTAACATAATAAACATTCTAGTATTTATGTTAACGTAGTATAATATTAGAATATTAGAATTAATTGTATATTATATGAAATCATGTAGAATGTATTAGTGATACCTGGCTTATTTCAGTATCCATTAATATAATCAGCACTTCGTTTTATGTTTTATCTCAATATGTTTCAATCTTACTCGATATTGTGTCACCTTTAAATGAATCTCGACCGCGCAAATTTCTAATTCCCGCGGAATATTTTATTGACCATGAGAAATATTTTTATATCATAACATTACACATAGCTATTGGAACGTTGATTGTAACATTCAGCGGAGTAGCTACTGAATCGTTTTCAATAACAAACGCATTACATGCTTTCGGCTTATTTAAAATTGCTAGATAAGTGTTTATTATTTTATTTATTATAAGAATATTTTTATTTCTCTATTTTATTTTCTCTTAAATTATTTAATAGATATAATTATTAGATATTTCATTGTTTAATTTTTTTTAATTAATATTTTAATCTATACTATTTTCTGCTTTTACATAGTTTTAAATTACATTTAGTTTTGTATTATGATTGACAGTTATTTATAAAACGTCTTTATTTATTATATTCGTTAATTAAAATATTCGTAAATTAAATTATTTATATCTGTAGAGTTTTATTTTATTTATTTTTATTATTTAGATATTTGTAATATAACTTATTTAATAACTTATTTAATAGAATATAATCATATTACTTTACATTATACGTATGTAATATTTGAATCTTTTTAGTTATCATATGAAACATATATTAAACGGAATTAATCCGCAGATATGCGTAACTAAAAAATATGCCATATTTCATAAAAGAATAATCGCTGCGGTGGATTTTCATAGAAGAGCAATCGAGTTAGTATTATAACATATTTAAGGTAATCTTATACACGAATAGTATTGATAAGAATTCAGAAATGATTATATCAAAATTACTGACACATATCTAATACAATACTTATTACTAATTACATTAATTTATTTCTTATTATACAATATTTATTTCTAATTATAATCTAAATAATAATTTTACATGCAATAAATTTGAATGGAATATCTATATCTTAAATTAACGTTTTAAAAAAATTATATTTTTTTAATTTAATTTATAAAGCATAATGAAGAATGTTTTTATTTTATAAGATTTTCTGAATTATTGAAAACGAGTTTTTGGACGAGCGTACTTAATCTTGTTTGTCATTATTGTATGTTCGGCAAGCGTCAATTTATTTAATGTAATGTAATGTTTAAAATAAAAGATTTTATTTTATTGCTTATTATATTTTATTAGCTTTTCTAAAAAAAATCTTTTATTTTATATAAAAATATTCTATTTTATCTTTCTTTTATATACTACATGCGATGTTATTTGTAGTTATTTCGAATAATAATGACAGAAACAGATATCTTAGAACTTATTAAATCGATCTCATTCATAGCATTACACATTTTTTATTTAACTGCAGCTAATTTTGCTGGGCAGGAATTTATAAATGGTGATACGCATTTCTATCGTACAATGTAAGTAATATAATTATTATTATTACATTTTTATTTTTATCAAAATTGTGTGTATTATTTCTGAAAGAATACAATCCATATTATGATATAATATTCAGTACTTTACTTATATTATATAGATAATAGTAATACTGAATGGTATAATGCTCCATTAAAAACACAAAAATTAATACTCTTCTTAATGCAAAAAACTACAAAATATTATAAGATTGATGCCGATGGTATGTTTAGTCTCTGTTTGGAAGGTTTTTAGCTACAGTATAAAATCTTACTAAATTAATATGTCGATTTTCTAATCAATGACTATATCGATTTATTACATAAAATATTTTCTGTTTTAGAGTTTAAGTATGACAGTTTCTTATTTCACGATTCTTTATTCTGTATAATTATAATATCCAAAGCTGCAGAGAAATATTTTGTTACTACTTTAGAAGTGTACGATTAAAATTTTAACATTATAATAAATAATTAAGTTAATAAACTAAAAATATAAAATTTAAATTTAAAAAATTTTAAATTTGTTTTTTGATTTGATTAATAAAATTATTTTGTTATTACTATTTATTGTAAGACATAATAATAATATTATGTCTGTCTTCTTAATGTATGTGCAAGTGTAATAAATATATTTAATTGAAATATTTTTATTAAATACATATTTATAAAAAATATGTTATTAATGTTACAATTACAACCCATTATTATTAAAAATTTATAATTAATTCTGTTATAAAAATTTGCAATTTATATAAAAATAATTTATTTCTAATAACGTAATTATTTTTATCTAACCTGAGAATACAATAAAGTATAAAATATAACTAAGCTAATACTACATAAAGAGAATTGACGAGCTCTTCCAAAAAGTACGGCAAACAGAATGAATGATTTCATGAGATCTGTGTTGCTTTTTTTTATTTATAATCGTGGCTGTAGTGCATCATATATCACAGGATCAGTGTTCGGCTGCAACACGAATTGTCCATACTAGATGCAATGCTTGCATTGTTGCAAGAGGTCAATATTTTAAACAATATCTACATTAAACAAGTAAAAATGTGAATAAATAAATGAATGAATGAAACTATATTTTGCTTTTTTTGCGATTTTCTCCTACATGAAGCAAAAACAAGAATATCTCTAAAGGATTTTTTTTCTTAGTTTATTGGTCCTCTACACGCTCCCGAAGTTTGACATTTAAATTCGGGACACCCTGTACACCACACACACACACACACACACACACACACACACACGCACGCACGCACGCAACGCACGCACGCACGCACGCACGCACGCACGCACGCACGCACGCACGCACGCACGCACGCACGCACGCACACTTTATTTTTACAATCTTAAAATTTTATATAATTCAGAACAAACAAATATTGATACATATTTGTGTTAAGTAAAATTTATTTTAACATGGAAATCATTTTTACAATAGATAAATAATAAATAATTATTTAAATTAACACTTTATACAAAAATTTTCTAAGGATAGCCCAGGTATTTAAATCATTTTGTTAATTGTATTTATAAAATTTCAAATATTGATGAATGCAGTGCCATTTATAATTGTAATTTTGAAGTAATTATCAATATTCATGCCTTTTTTAGTTAGACTGCGTTCCGATATTTATTGTTAGAACTGAAAATCTATAATATACGTGACATGAACCATATACTTTTAGTACTGGCAGTGAATATTGGAACGCAATCTTAGTTATTTTGTAGTTCCTTTCTTAAAGCGCGATAATCAATATCAAAAAATAAGACTAATCAAAGATAAGACTAATGTAAAATCGTTAGTATTATTTGACGTTTATTATATACATATGATGTTTATTATATACATTTAAAATATATACGTATAGAATTTATATACGCATCATAATATATATTTTTAATAATTATTAAATTTATGAAATTAATTATGCATGAAACTAATTTATAATAATATTAATAATATATTTTAAAGTAATGCTAAGATAAATGTCAAAAATTTCTGATGATATCAATCTGTTTTCTTCTCCGAGATTGATTGTCGAATGTTATAAAAAAATATCTACAAAGTTAGAAGCAAGAGAGGCGTGAAATAGCGATATGTGTCAAATTTTTTCAGAAAAGGACAAATCCTGGAGTGTATTCTGCCTTTCACTACCACTGAAAATCTATAATTTTTATACATTTGAGAATTACGAATATATTTTCAGTACTGGCGCAATATCAAAATGATACACAAAGTCGCATTAATCCAATGCAATCTTCTGTTATATAATCCATTAAAGCGAAATTATACATCTATCATCATTTTGTGTTTATTTTGTGTTCTGAAGTAATGAATTAGAGTTAGAGTCTTATGTATCCATTTTTGTATCTGCAAAATTAACATGGTCATGTTAAATATATATATATATATATATATATATATATATATATATATACTAT